AATTGTAAACAATAATATGCTCAACGTCCAATAAGGTGTCGATGGTAAGAAAAATTAGTACGTCCAGTAGTGAACCGCACGTCTCAACAACAACGACGATCCAATCATATCACCATGCATTTTGCATGGCCGGATCATCGCATTGTCCAGACTTCCAGACACCAGATGTAATAATTTCTCTTGCTATAGTAGTAGCATAGATTTTTATTTTGATGTCCTACAAAAAGAAAGGGACTTACAGTGGGGCATGATGTAACAGTAGATTCAGCAAGGGACCTGCGAGCAGGAGCTGAATCTCCAATATAATTCCATAAAAGCCTCCTCCTGCTCTGTTTCTCCCCATCACCATCATCACGATGGCATGGAAGCATGGTATTTGCCAAACCCACAGGTATGCAGATTTTTGCAATGTAGCTTTGTCCAAATGTCAGCAACAAGGAGATAAAGCCAAGAACCATCAACTCTGAAAAAAAAAACAAAAATTAATTAAAAAGGCACAATTTTTATATATTTACATTTCTCACCCCTAACACCATACTTTACAATTTTGCATGAAAAATGTGCATTTGACTCTTAAAAGTACTATTTTTTTGATGTCATGTTAATAAATTTGAATGTAACAGTGAAGAAAAGTTCATAATGTATAAATATAATATTGGCTGGTAGCCATTAATGCTTTAGCATTAATCCAAAGAATCAAACACCATAGAATTAGTCATCACCTCCTCGCTAGACTATGCGGAGAAAGCCAAGCAGAAAGTTCAGAGTTCACAAAAGAGCAAAAAATGAAGGAACAATAAGTCCAAACTTCTCACCTGACTTAATCTTCTCCAGAGCATCATACAGAGCCTTCTTGTGCTTATCTCTGAACCACTGAAATTTTAAAATTGCATCAATAACCCTTTAAAAATCAACACGCAAATATTATGTATGGCGACCATACGTCTTGATGATATTGTCTAGATGTACGTACGGCAAACTACACATAATATTTTCTCATAGCTGACGAGCAAGACCGAACCTGTCCAAGTCGATGGAGAATCTTCTCGAGAAAGAAGGAGATGAGGATGATGACCGCACTGACAACCGCCACCGCCCATGTCGGCGTGACGTTAAGGTCTCTCGACCCTCCTCCCCCTCCCCCGGCCATTAAACGGTAACAAAAAGCTGTTGCAACTCCTGTTCAGCTGCACCTTCCTGTTATTCCACGGAGAAGGGGAGGTGAAGTGAAGAAGAAGAAGAAGGAGCCTACTCTTTAGTTGCCTGAATGGAGCAATGATATGGCCGGAGAGTCTTTATAGGGCTTATTGGTTCCTTTACATGCATACCACCCAATTCCTTGTATTTGCTTTATATGTTAATGTAAATTCTTTATAGTTTAATTTAAATATGTGATCTTTTTGTTTGACATGAGAGCCGGCCAATTGAACCGGCCCGTCATTTGCTCACTGCTGAGCCCAGCAATTCCGTTTTACAGGACGAAATAATTGTACGAAAATTTCAAAAGTATAAAAACCATATTATTTAGTTGAACGACTTATATTATTTATAATAACTAATATTAATTGATACATATTTAAATAATTATATGTACTTTAGTATGATTTATTACATAATATAATCAAGGGGCATTTAGGTACACAAATCTTGTATATTTACATGCTAACACTTAAACATTCATATTTATGTTTATATCGTGCAAATATCTAACATCATATTAACAACATCACAATCATTACTTTTTAAAAGGGAAATTTAAGATCCCACATCTAAAAGTTCATATTTACATACATAACTGTTAGGTATGGCTCATATATCAGGAAATTTGAAATATCTTGAAAGGTGTATTTCCTGGAATGAAAAGAAGCGTCTTTTGGTGTGAAGAGGTGTGTCTCTTGGATTAGTGGGTTGTGGTAATTTTATCTATAAATAGATGTGTAACCCGATGGGCATGCAATTTCTCTGGAATAGTGAAATTTGTTGCTTGCTCCCGAGGATGTAGGCATCTTTGCCGAACCTCGTCAAATCTCTGTGTTCTTCCTCTGGATTTGCGTTGTTTCACCCTAAATTTCACAACGATAACCTTAATAGGTGATAATATATATTTGATTTTCATGAAGTAGTCATATTATCATAGTCTTGTTTTTGATGTGATATTAAGCATCTGAGTGATTCAATGATTTGTGGGTTTCTATATAAGTACACAAGAATTGTGTGCCATGCAAGTAAATGTGTCACTCGAGGGTCATAAATGTAAATATCAAATTTGAGAGGTTAGCAAAGAAAGACCTAACATTATTTTTTTGAAGTAGGCAAGATCTTTAAAATATATCAAATGGGGGTAGAATTACTAAATGACCTAAATTACATAAAAAAGTATTAAATTTTATTATTTATATAAAAAATTTACAAATTTTAGGCTAATTAGAAGGTTAGATATATAAATATATAAGAGTTATATGACATAAATGTAAGTTTTCCTTTCGGTTTGACGTAAAATACGACCACTGCGCATAAAGAAATTATGCTGATCCGGTCTTCTATATATTTCAATCATATACTTTATTTCATTGAAAGGGAAGTGGGCACGCGGCCCTAAGCAACGACCGTCTCAAATCTGATTATGTTTGGGTCAAATTTCGATTCAAATTTGTCAATTTAGGGTTGGCAGGTTAATGTTGATCTAATCCAAAAAAAAGGTATATGTATTGGGATTTGGGTCAAATTTCAATTCAAATTTGTCAATTTAGGGTTGGCAGGTTAATGTTGATCTAATCCAAAAAAAAGGTATATGTATTGGGATTTTGGACCTGAATTCAGCCTGAAAATTAATCGGGTCAGCCTATACTTATATTTTTTTAGCTTAGGGTTTATGGTTGAGTTTGTGTGTCGGGTTGAATTTTGACACCCCTAGGCTGATGAAGCCTTGTCTCTTAACTTATTCAATCCCGTGGGCTCAGTGCATCGGCTTCATTACTTGCTCGTTCGGGTTCACGTTCAATTTTTATTTTTATTTTTTATTTTTACTTTTATTATAAAAACATGCTTACAATATTTTTTTGCACGTTTTTATTATTTATTTTTAAAACAAAATAGTTTGTTTTTAAGGACACTTGAAACACTTAAAATTTGTTTTTGAGTGGTTTTTAAAATAATTTGTTGTGTGTCAGAATTTCAAGGTGGTGAAGTGATAAATTAACGTCTTAGCATTGAAGGAAAATCCAACACATACACAGATAAAAGAAAAGTATTAGAAGGATACACCATATTTTTTATGTGGAAAATTCATGGAAGGGAAAAAAATCGTAGGATTTAACCCGCTAAAAATAGTCTATTATATAATCTAAGTACACAGGTTCACTTTTATCGTGAATTAAAGGAATAGAATTACAAAGTTGATAATCCCAAATGTAGAATAGTAGTTTAATTATAATATTAATAATTGGGCCACAACAAATTTAGTTCTTGCATATAATAGAAATAGTTGGTCATGAAGACCGTAGTTGATTGTTACAAATGCAGTAGTTAGTTATAAAGATTGTAGTCGATACTTGTAATAACAATAGTTGGTCACAAATATCGTAGTTGAAAATTGTAACAATGATAGTTGGCCACAAATGTCATGGTTGATTGTTGCAAAGGTAATATTTGACTATAAAATTTGTAGTTTGGTGGCTGCAACAGCGCTAATTGATCATAAAGATTAAAGTTTGAAGCTTTAATAGTAATAGTTAGCCACAAAAGGCCTTAGTTTGTCAACAATTGTTGCAAGTGGTGATCGCTAACAATCAATTGTTGGTAGTCAGTTGTGGTTGATCACTAAGTGACAGTTAACTATGGCCGACATGCAATGGTTGATGGTGGTCGATCGACAATTATATCGATGGTTATTTGATGGGTTTTCTTCATAACAAGTTCTAAAATTTCATTTCTTATTATCTTCTTCTCCCCTCCAATTGAAAATAATGGGTCTATTTATAGTCTTTTGCTGAAGGACATTTTAGTATTTTGGCGTGTAACTTTTCTAACCACTTAATTGGATGATCGATGCTGACCCTCTTAATTATAATTAGTTTTTTTTAATGATTCTGGTGTTTTAATGACCACAGAATTGAACAAGTTTAGACTCATTGGATTCCTCTCATCGAAGCGCTTAATTTGACTATACATATGCCACATTTGGAGTTCATTTGAACATTAAATTTATAATGCAAAACCTCTAATTATGCTTCAATGACTTGATATAAGCTTGATTGGACCTGAATTGAACCAACTTTGAGATCAATAGGTTTGTCTTGTAGGAATGATCGATTTGACTAAAAACTTGTTGAAATTGAGGCCCATATGATATTGAATTTGAATTTTGAATGACTCTTATGAAAAATGCATCAAAATGTATGTTTAATAAAAAAATATTGATGACACACCACAACCAAACATGTTGTATCATATTAAAAATGTTTTGTTTCAATTCAAAACATAAACAAAATAGATAATAAAATTGAAAATAGAAGCAACACCAAACATCATACGACTTAGGGTATGTTTGAGGCAGCTGCAGCTGTTTGAAAAATCAGTTGTGAAGCTGTTGCAGAAGTTGTTGTTCAAAAAATTGTAATGACCATTACAATTTTTTTTTTCCAGAAGTCACATTGCAGCTTTTAAACAATGTATGGTTGCAACATGCAGTTTTCAACTACAGTTTTTTTTTTTTAATTATTGAAAAAACAAACAAAATGTGGTTTTACCAAATAGAAAAAAAAAAGTGGTACAACACCTTCACGTCACTGACCCCCCAAACACACCCTTAAGCTTGTGATGAGTAGTAGCTTCGGGTTACAAGTGAGTTGGTCTTGATAGTTAACGTTTATTTAATACTAGATATGTGTTAAATGAGTTATTAGGATTTTGTAGAACTCTAAATGCTTAGAGGAAAATAGGATATGAAATGATTGAAGTGGATTGCTTGTCCTTAAAATTTGCCTAATTGTCATATATCTTAGGTGTATTTTGTATTTAGCATTTTTATATTTGGCACATTACACATAATAATTTATAAGAATGAAACATAATGGGAAAATTTTAACTTTAACTTCAAAATATAATATAAATATATATTTTTTTAATATGACATTCTTTCATTCCAAAGGCCTTCCACAAACATAATTGATTTTAAAATTTTAGACCGAAAGTTATAGCTATTTATGAAAAGGTACAATTGTACATTTGGCTTAAATTTTGTGCATTTAATTTCATAATTAAACGCATGCAACTCAAATCATTTACGTCACATAATAATATAATAATCATAATTTTCTTAAAAAGTCAAGTGTACCTTTAAATTTATGACATCAAGGTGTTTTAAATATAAAAATCAAATTGTTAGTGTTAGATATATAAATACATGAAATTTATGTGGTATTTATGTAAATTTCCCAGAATTTTAGTAGAGTCCCGTAATTATATTTTATTTATTTTGCTTGGGAAGTTCTATTTAATAAACTTGTATAAAACGAGGGGAAAATATTTGCGTATGTAAGACGTACATAGAACTGTGTACATCGGGAGGTTATTCAGAGGGTATAAGAGGGTTACATCCGTGTTATACAATCATTTAACTTCTCAGTAACCTACATCTAACTTATGTGTATCCTACAAATATATTTCGCACTTCTGTAATTTCGGTAGTTACAGGGAGGTTACATGAGTGTATAATGCAGATATAATCTGTCTGTACCCTTTGAATAACCTCCGACGTACACAACGCTGCGTACGTCTTACGCACGGAAATATTTTCCAAAATGAGGTCCAAAATTAATTTTTCTTATATGATTTCTTGTTTTGGGAGGGTGAAATATATTTCCTTAGAGACTATTTCCGATCTTTTTTATTTTTATTTTCAATTTTTTTTTATTTTTATTATATTTTATCTATATTTAAATTTATAAAAAAATGTCTAAAAACTATTTGGAGTATTTTAAAAAATTTATTAAATAAATATCTTAAAAAAATCTCAAATAAAATTTGGCTTTTCTACAACTTTATTTTTGTTTTTTATAGGCAATCGGTACTGAATATTTTACTTTATCTTTTTTTTAATATGCACAAAAAAAATATTATTATTATTTTATACTTCTTAATTTTTTGTTAAACTACTAAATCGATATATTTACGCATATCACCATCAAAT